TTTCCTTTTCATTTCCCTTCATGTTAATATTAGGGAGAATGTGATATTTGTCTTTCTGAGTCTGGCTTATTTTGTACAACATGATGATCTCCAGATGTGTTCATTTTCCTGCAAATGACAAAACTTCGTTCTCAATAATTACCTATCTACCTATTATTTAAAAATCCACTCATCTGTTGATGGGCACCTAGGCTCATTCCATATCTTGGCAAAGACATGAGTATGCAGGTGTCCCTATCACAGGCTGCCTTTGCCTCCTCAGGGTATATACCAAGGAGTATGGTGGAATTTAGGGTGTTTCTATTTTTAGTTTTTTGAGGAACCTCCATACTGATTTCCCTGGCTGTACTAAAATTCTACCAGCAGCACAGAGAGTCCTGCAGCCTCACCAGCATTCATTATTTTTTTAATATTCTTGACAATTGCCATTCTGACTGGAAGTTGAGATAAAATCTCAGTGTCCTTTTTTTTGTTTTTTTTTTGGTACTGGGGATCGAACTCAGTACCTTGTGCTTGTGAGACAGGCAGCTACACCACTGAGCTAAATCCGTAGCTCTTCAGTGTTGTTTTGATTTGTATTATGTAATAGCTAAAGATGTTGAACATTATTTCATATACAGTGGATCCTTGAGTTACAACTCCTGACCTATGAACAATTTGGGTTTCAACCAGAATTTTCATTTTAACCTACAACCAAAGTCTTGAGTTACAACCAGATGCTGGCTGGTTGTTCTTCCAGATGGTCTCAGATACAAATTTAACCCTTAAAGAGTTCTGGAGGGAACATGACAACATCCTTTCCTGTGTGAGGTTAATCGAGAAATGCTGGGCCAGTGTCTCTCGAAGGACACTAAGATCTGCCTGTGTACAGGAGAGAAACTTTAAAGGCTGTGTAGAGGAGCCTGAACCTTCATTGACCAACTTGAGTTACAACTGCCCTTAGGAATGAATTGAATTCATAAGTCAAGGATCCACTGTACTTATATGTATATCTTTTCAGAAGTATCTGTTCAATTCATTTGCCCATTTATTGATTGGGCTATTTAACTTTTTGATGTGAAGTTTGAATTCTTTATATATTTTAGCTATTAGTCCTGTGTTGGAAGACTAGCTGATAAAGATTTCCTCTCATTCTGCAGTCTGTCTCTTCACGCTATTGGTTGTTTCCCTTGCTGTGCAGAAATTTGTTAGTTTGATGAAGTCCCATTTGTTGATTCTTGGCATTATTTCCTGTGCTGTGCTATTGGAAGTCACTACCTATGCCTATTGCTCCAAGTGTTTCTCCTATGTTTTTGCCTAGCAATTTCAAAGTTTCAAGTCTGATCCTTTTTTTTTTGGTACCGGAGATCAAACTCGGGTCCTTGGCTTGCGAGGCAGGCGGTGGAACCACTGAGCTAAACCCCTGGCCCGTGATCCATTTTGAATTGAATTTTGCACAGTGTGAGAGACAAGGATTTAGTTTGTCTTCTACATGTGGATATCCAGTTTTCCCAGCACCATTTGTTACAGAGAGTACTTTTCTCCAAGGTATGTTTTTGGCTCCTTGGTCAAGAATCAGATAGCGGCCGGGGATTTAGCTCAGTGGTTTTGTTGCCTGCTGTGCAAGCGCAAGGACCCGAGTTTGATACCCGGCACCAAAGAATCAGATAGCTATAGCTGTGTGGTTTGTTTCTGTGCTCTCCATCCTATTCCATTGGTTTACATGTCTATTTTTGTGCCAGTACCACACTGTTTTTGTTACTATGGGTCAGTAGTATAATTTGAAATCAGGCCTCCAGCCTTGTTCTTTCTGCTTAGAATTGTTTTGTCTATTTGGGGTCTTTTGTTTCAATATGAATTTTTTTTTCTAGTTCTGAGAAGAATATCATTGCAGTTTTGATGGAGATTGCATGGCATCTGTAGATTGCTTTTGGTTAAAATGTTATTTCTGCCAATCCATGAACATGGGAGGTCTTTCCATTTTCTGGTGTCTTCTTCAATTTCTTTCTTCAGAGTTCTGTAATCTTCATTGTAGAGGTCTTTCACCTCCTTGCTTAGGTTGATTCCTAGGTAATTTTTTTGAAGCTACTGTGAGTGGAATTGTTTTCCTGATTTGTTCTTCTCAGTTCAATATTGTGTACAGAGAAGCTACTGACTTTTTAATGTTTATCTTGTATCCTGCACATGAGATTCTTAATACATAAAGGATTAATGACCAGCTCAGTTAATTTTGAAAATAGAGCCAATCTTATTCTTAAATTTTAGGGCATCCTAAAGTATTCGATTCAGCCATTATGCTTCCTTACATACATTTGAGGTGCATTTTATTATAAACAAAGACATGGACATGCACAAAACAAAAATAAACTCCAAAAGCAAGAAAACCCAAATCCAAAACCAACATAACCACAACACATAAGGCATCTGCAAAATTGCTGGGCACTGACAGTGTACAGGAGCCCTTCCATGTTTCAGATGTCCTGCTGCTTCTGAGACTGAGATATGAAATAAACATTTGTCCAGGTGGATGGCACACATTTGTCTCACATAATCAGTGATCTGACGCCAATCTATCCAGTCATTCTTGTTTCAAAGACTGTCCTTGGTACTAGGAAAGGGATCATTCCTGTTATCTGCAAGGCGATGTTATTGCTGTTAGTCTGCAAGGGGAGGTGGACCAGCAAAGTGAGGGTTAACTACACAGTGCCTGCTGTTATAGTGAAATGGTCAGATGAGCCAGGGATTTAATTATCCTAGCTAACGATGTACGCTTTTATATATGCTCATTTTGACAGCGCATATATTAAAACCGAAGCAATATGGAAAAAATTGGCTTGGGTCTTAAGCAAAGATGACAGAAACTCAGAAGGTACTTTTATTTTTGTGAGGCAGCCTGTCGTCATAGGAATATGTCTGGACTTGGTTCCTAAAGCGGTGGGTTTGATTCCCATTTCTACTTTTGATTGTCATTAAGCAAATCCCTTAACCTTTTATGGACCTCAGTCTCCTCATTTTTATTTTTAATTTTTGATTGATTGATTGATTGATTCATTGATTGATTGCAATACTAAGGATTGAACCCAGGGCCTATGCATGCGACTACATCCCCAACACTCTTCAGTGTTTTTGAGGCAGGGTCCTACTAAATCACTAAGTTGCCCAGGCTGGGCTCAAACTCTTAGTCCTCCTGCTTCACCCTCCCAGGGTGCTGGAATACAGTTGTGTACCACCAAACCTGGCTAGTTCCTCATTTTTAAAAGCTAGAGGGAAGATAAATGATTCCACATTGAGCATCCCATGGAATGGATCAAAGTATTCTCTGATGTGAAACTAACTGCCCAGTGAGGATGTCACTGAGTCCGTTGCAGAGTTGGGCTGAATGTGTCAAAATAACCAACTAGGGTCTTTCCTCGGTGTCAGCGTTAGGTCTGGGAGCACCTTCTGGGGAACAATCTTGACAAGTTTAATGGCAGTGGAGTCATGCTGCTCTTTCTTTCTGAAGTCAGACATGCGGAGTCCCTGTAGGATGCTGTTGAAACACGGGCCAATGGGGTGAGGAGAATACAGACAGTGCAGCACTCAGATACTTAGGACCCAGGTCAGCTGCCAGTTACCAGCTTCTGCTTCTGCTGAGGATCTGCTAAGGGACTGCAAGGCAGTCTGACCACTGGGAATTTGCTAGAGTCCCAAGAAAGTCAGCAGGGAACCTGATATTCAATGAGATTTAGTCATTTGAAGGATAAGATGCATTTTGAAGACTGGGCAGCTACCTTGTAGCTGTGGGAGGTGCAGAGGTGAAGCCAGGTCTTCCTTATTTCAAAGCACCTGCCTTTCACCCCCAGTACTCTAGGAGTGGAGGCAGGAGTGGAGTGGTGTTCCTAGTGGGGATTTCTTTGTTTGTTGGTTATTTTTAATTGTGATAAAACTCACATTTCAGCAAACTTACCATCTTAGCCATTTTCAAGTGTATGGTTCAGTAGTGTTAAGTACATTCATACTGTTGAGCAACTAATCTCCAAAGCTCTCTTCATTTTGCAAAACTGAAACTCTGTCTCCATTACACAACAATTCTTCATTCCCTCTGTTACGGTTTGGGTCTGGATGTCTCCCAAAGCCTCACGTGGTCATAGGCTTGATCTAGGTAGGGTGTGTGAAGCTGGAATTGATTCATGATGCAATGCTAGGCTCAAGGGCACTAGGATTAAGGGTGTGAGTGCTTTCCACCCTAAGTAGCTTGAATAAAATAAAAGGGCCAGGGAGACAGCAGTAATTTTCTCTCATTACCTTTGCTGCCTTGTGTGTGCCATGTTGTTTCTGTTCTGCCATGCCTGTTTGTCATCCCTTCCTTGGAGTCAGCTGATTATGGGCTGAAACTTCTATAAACTATAAGCCAAATAAACCCCTTCCCTTCTAACTTTGGGTATCAGGTATTTTGTCTCAGCAATGAGAGAGAAAGGTAACTAACACACCCTTCTTCCTCTTAGTCCCTGACAACCAGCATTCTACTTTCTGTCTCTTTGAACCTGATGATGCTAAGAACTTTATAATTGGATCAGATAGTATTTGTCTTTTTTGTGTGTAGCTGGCTCATTTCACCTTGCATTATGTCCTTGAGGTCATTCTTATTGGAGCAGATGTCAAAATTTCCTTCTTTTTGGGGGCGGGTACCAGGGATTGAACTCAGGACCTTGCACTTGCAAGGCAGGCACAATGCCACTGAGCTAAATCCCCAGCCCATTTCCTTCATTTTTAAATGAGGTCACAAGGGTAGTGGAGCCATGCTCTGATAGAGTTAGTCTCCTTACAAGAAGAGACACTGGAGGGCTGGTTCTCTCTGTCTGTGTCTGTCTTTTTGTCCCTCCACACACAGGCACCAAGAAAAGATCATGTGAGGACACACGGAGCAGCCAGCTATTTGCAAGCCAGGACGAGACCCTGATCCAAAGCTGAATCAGGCAGAGACTTGATCTTAGACATCTAGTTTATATTTGTGAGAAAATACATCCATGTTGTTCAAGTCATTTAGTTTATAGTGTTTTATTATGGGAGCCTGAGCAGACTGATACAATAATATGCCATTGTATGCATGCATTGTATTTTGCTTATCCATTTAGCTGTCAGTGACATTTGGTGATTGCTTCCATCTTTTGGCTTATGTTAATCAATGGTGCTATGAACATGAATACACCCATATTCCTTGGAGATCCTACCTTCAATTCTTTTGGGTATAGGGCTGGGGATTTAGCTCAGTGGTTCCGCTGCCTGCCTTGCAGGTGCAAGGACCAGAGTTTGATCCCCAGTAAAAAAAAATAAACAAACAATTCTTTTGGGTATATATCTACAAGTAGTGTTGCTGGGTAATACGGTAATTCTACTTTACATTTCTGAGGAACCCTCATACTGTTTTCCATAGCGGTTGTACAATTTTTACATTCCTACCTGCCACAAGGGTTCTGATTTCTCCACATCCTCATTTTACTTATTATTTTCTGTTTTTAAAATTTACTTATTTATTTACAGCACTGGAGATTAAAGCCAGGGAATACTGAGTCACACCTCTAGCCCTTTGTTTTGTGTGTGTGTGTTTCAGTACTGAAGATTATTGTGATTTAGACCAAGAATGTCCCCCAGAGGCCTCATGCACTCATAGGTGGGGGTTCTGGAAGGTGACTCAGCCACATGGGCAGCACAGCTGCCTTGCTGTTAGGAGGTGGGGTCTGGTTGGAGGAGTGATCCTTGCGGGTGTGATCTGGAAGGGTTTCTCTCCCTCCCTGCTCCTGTGCTTCCTGGCGCAGCCTTCTCGGGGCACCCATTTTCTTTCGAATTTTTGTTTGCAAATGGTAGTCACTGTCCAACCATGTTATCTTCTACTTAAAAGAGAATTTCTTAGTCATGGGCTCAGAGCTGGGGGCTGTCAAGCAGGATTTATGCTGTCCAAATGGAGCTGGTAGGTTGTGGGGAGTTAGCCTATTTAGCTGCCTATGGCTATGGTTGTTCCAGCTTCTGAAGCCTGAAGTGGGCTTGGCCACAGAGGCCCAGGTGGCTGTTAAGTATCCGCTGATTCCACACAAGAACACTGTCATCCACAAAACAGAGCTGTGCAGACACCGACACAGAGGCCCTAGTAATTATTATGGATATTAAAAAATCCTATCACCACTTCCAGTATTAAGACCAGCTGACACTGCCGCATGCTTCTCACTGTCAGGCATGGTGCTAGGCACTTCATGTGGACGAGCAGGCCTGGTGGAATTTCTTCCCCAGGGACTTGGATGTGGGAGGTGAAGAGTACTGGCTGGCTCTCTGTCTCAAAGCTTGACTGACAGATGTCAGATCTGCATGCTGTCGGCAGCCACACGGTTTAGGGAGTACAGGAGTTGGCCTGGAGCCAGAGGGAAAGAGACGACAACCTAACAAAGACAAGGATAGGGATATGAGATGAAGTTACCCCCCTCTGGGGGCTGCTGTAACAAATTACTACAAACTAGGTGCATTAAAACAACAAAAATTTATTTGTCCTGGAGACCAGAGGTCTGAAATCCAGACATCTGTGGGTCCAGCAAAGGCTCTAGGAGGGGACCTTTCTTTGCCTCTTTGAGCCACTGGTGGTTGCTGTAATCCCTGGCATTTTTTAGTGTAGATGTGTCACCTCTATATCCCCCTCCATCGTCATACGGCATTCTCTCCTGTGTGTCTCTCCTCCCTCTGTGTCATTGGATCCAGTTACCAGTCATTGGATTAAGGATCCAATTACCAGTCATTGAATCCAATTACCAGTCATTGGATTAAGGCCCCCCCATAATTCAAGATGACTTCCTTTTAACCTAACTATCCACATCTATGCAGATCCTATTTCTAGAATATATTCTGAGCTGCTGGCTGGACATGAACTTTTGGGGACACTTTTCAACCTAGCACAGAGGGGTATCTTAATATGGAAACTGGACCCCATATTCCAGTTGTTCTCAAAACCCAATCATACTCCAAGCTTTGGGTGTTGTGGTGCAGGTCCATATGCTTATGATAAATTATTATTTGTGGTAAATCTAGCTCTAGTTGGGTGACTGTCACATGCAACCAAAATAATTTTTAAAATACATAGAAGAATAGAGACTTCCATTGTTATAATTCTATTAGCTGCCAATGGGTGCCCTATTTATCAAGCATGAAAGTATTTCTTCTGTGGTGGCTTGGGGAAAACAAACTTATACACTGTAGAAAAATGAAGCCCAGAGAGACTTGACTAAGCACAGATAGTGCATCAGGAAGACGCCTGGGGGGCTGACCTCAGCTCAACTGGAAGAACAGCAGTAGGGTGAGCCCAGATGACACCAGCTTCTGCCTAGAGTCAGATACCTGGGCAGATACCTGGTCTGAATCAAAGGAAGAAAGGTGGGTAAGACATACACAGTGCGTGGCCATCTGGTAGCCTCTGCTATGGATGGCGAGCCTACATTTTCAAGATCCCAGATGGCTCCAGAATTCCCACCAGATTTTTTTAGCTTACCTTGAAATAATCAGCCATGTGCCATAGGCAAATTTGGCAGGAAGTTCCAGAATACGGTGCTTCGATAACGTTCAGATCTGCCCACGGTGCCTCTGATGTCAGTAGCACAGAGGGTGGAAGTCAATCTGGTCAGCTTTCCAGGAGGCTATGTGTCATTGCCAGTGGCCATGTTTGAAAGGTGGTTGTAAGAAACCTGTAAGCGACAGACTTGCTTTACTGTCAAGTCTCTGGACCAGGCTCCAAGAGGACATCAGTGGATGGCCCAGCAGCTGGTTTTCCTGGCCAGGACCCACAGGCACCCTCCTGGTAGGTCCAGTGCAAAGAATTCCACTAGCCACCCTTTCGGCTGGGGAAAGGGATGGAGAGGGTGATTGCAATCAGGGAGGTTGCTTGGGCCCCATGAAATCACCCCAGAAGCAATTGCTAAATGCAAAGACCCACCAAATCCATCTGCCTTTTGTGGTTGGACTCTAACCAGGCTCTAAATGAGTCACCAAGATGGTATCCTGACCTCATAGGTCAGCTGTAGAAAGCCAGTGAGCCCTAGCAGCAGGATGTGTTTCTCCTGTGGCCCCAGTTCTTACAGGGAGAACTTTCTGTGACCCGTAGATTGGGATGGGGCATCTGGACTGGGGCAGGGTAGACACTTAGTGGATTTCAGGCCTCATCCCACCTGGAGTTGTACCAGCGCTGTCACTGAGCAACAGGGATGACAGTGTTTATCTGATGGGATCATCATAGCAGCCAGTGATATGGGCATTAGTGTCCCCAATCCATGTTTTAAGGAGCCTAGGGTACAGAGAAGATCAATCACTTACCAGGTGCCATAGTTTAGGTCTGGGCCATCTTCCAAAGGCCTATATGTTGAAAGCCTGGTCTTCAATCTGGTGTTCTTAGGGGGTGGTGGAACCCTGAGGAGGTGGAGCCTAGTGGAAGGAAGTTAGGTCCCTGGGGACAGGTCTCTTCCCTCGAAGGGGATGTTGGAACCCTGGCTCCTTCCCGTGGCTTTCTCTTTGCTCCTGGCTGTTAGGAGGTGGATGCTCCCTCCACCATGCAGTTTCCATGATGTCTCACCAGAAGGCCCCAAAGCAACAGGTCAAACCATGAACGGAAGCCTCTGAAATCCTGAGCCAAAGTAAACTTCTCCTCCTTAAGAGTTGATCATATAAAGTATTTTGTCATATGACAGAAAAATAACGCACCTGGTCACACAGCCAGTGAATGAATTAATAGCTCAGGCTAGGTCCTGAGGCCATAGGATAAGGGAGATAACTGTGTGAGGGAAGACAGAAGGTCAGGGGAGGCCTGCAATGCTATTTGGGAGAGCAGGCTGAGCAGTCCCTGCAACAGGACATAGCCTGGGGACATAGGAGTTCACAGTCCAGGGAAGACAGAGGGGTTCCTGAGAGGAGGTGAAAGGCCGCCCTCCTATGGCCACTTCTGGAAAAGCACATGTGACACCCAAGGTGTCCCCTGGCGGGGAACAGTTCTTGGGTTACATGTAGATGTGTTCCTAGGAGGAGGGGTTGGGGAATCTGGGCCAAGACAAAGCCAGACGTGATTAGGGAGATGAGAGCATGCACCAGATTCAGATAGCAAGCTGAGAGCAGAATGGGAAGAGGAGCTGTAAGTTAAAGGCCTTACAGGACAACCGTGGGCTGGGCTGGGGGACAGGGCTGGCGTGAAGTCTGCAGGATGGTCCTCCCCACACTGAGCAGCCAGGGACCCCGAGGATGCTGGAGCAGGTGAGGACCTGGCCAGTTCACAGAGTGCGGAAACCATTGCTGGTTTGGTTTGAAGACGTCTGAAGATCTGGGGAGGCCGTTTGTGGCCTGAGGTTAGAGAGGAGGAAAAATGAGGGGAGAGGGTCCAAAGGGTCAGTGAACAGAAAAGTGAGGCTATGAGATGCTCGAGGGGAGGCTCCTGAAGCCAATCCTGACAGCCCTGGGACCTGCTCGCTGGTCCCTGTCCCTCCCCGTCTCCCCACTCTGCTGTCTTTCCTAGGACTTCAGGGCAGGGCTGCTGCTCACCCCTAGAGGGAAGGCTCCAAACTGTCCCCGAGTGGGACTCAGGTAGAGCTGGTAAGGGCCTGTGCTACAGATGTCTAGATTCCTTCCTGCCTGAGGCCAAAAAAACCCTCCAGGGCCAAATGGAACTTGGTTCCTTTTCTGGTGATAGCCCAGGGACACCTTTAATTGCAAAATTCAAGGCCAGGCCTTGTTAGAAATTGCAACAAACCCAGACCATATGGGAACATTTCCGATGGAAAGGAGCATCTGTTCCCTGTAAGAGATGCAAATGACGTTTAATTGTGCCTGTGGAGGGCCCCGTGTCCTGTCCCCAGTGCCGTGCCCACGGGGGGTAGTCCTGCCACGGTTCACAGTCCTCAGAGGAGCCCAGAACCCACATTGCCCGTGGCCCAGACCAGACAGCGCCCTCTGCTGACACCTGCATGGTGTGTCCAGGGTGTGGAGGGGACCAACCCCTACTCCAGGGATGGTGAACCTATTAGAGACCAAGTGCCCAAACTGCACTCCCAAACCCGGTTATTTATCCGAAAGTGCCAGGGCCATTTTTTACCCACTGTGTCCACGGTGCCCAGCAATGCCCAGCACAGAATGGATGTTCAGTAAATCCATGCCAAATCAAATGCAGCCTCTTTTTTCTTTTCTATAAAATTTTAAAAGAATGCTTTGGTGGGCTGGGGATTGAGCTCAGTGGTTTCGCCGCCTGCTGTGCAAGTGCAAGGACCCGAGTTCGATCTCCGGTACCAAAAAAAAAAAAAGAATGCTTTGGTTTGGGGATGAAAGACTTTTCCTAAGAATGACGTTCCCCCATGAAAGTCCCTGTTCCCATGCTCCGTCCGGGCCACTACACAGAGGCCCCTGGGTAGTGTGACTTCTCCACTCACCAGTGCTCTGCCTGAGCCTAGGGAATGTTGCCCTGTTGAGGGAGGGAAAATGGAGCCCAGGCTACTTCCAGGAAGCCAGAAAGATTCATTCAGAGCAGGAAGAAGAGGAGGAAGGAGGCAGGAGGGAGGAGGCTGGGGCCCTGCATCTGCTCAGAGTCAGCGGCTCAGGGAGGACAAGGCACCTGTCTGCTGGGCTCTGGGCCTTCGTCCTCTGCTGCCCACAGGGTGGGGTGTGGAGGGGCTGACGTTCTGCTCCTGCCAGCTGTGGAGTGAGACTCACCAGCTGAAGCCTCCCGGGCCCTCCCCGCTGCCTGGCCCATCCCTCTTGCCATATGGTGCAGGAGGGACAGTCACAAGGCGGAGGCTGCTGCCCAGCTGCCCAGTGGGTGTGTTCTGGGCCTTCTTCCTGAGCGATGTGTTCTGCATGTCATTCCCCAGAGGGAGCTTTTGGGACGTGGAGGTGGTTTGGGGATAACAGACCTGTCTCCTTGTTTACCCTGGGAACAGAATACTCTGCCTTACAGATGAAACAACAGAGGTTTAGAGACATTAAGTGACCAGTCACAGGCCACACAGCTAGGAATTTGTACAGTTTGTTGCAGGAAAAGTCTAGGTCAGGGATGGCGAACCTTTTAGAGTTGAGTGCCCAAGATGCAACCCCAAACCCATTTATTTTTCGCAAAGCACCAACACTGCAATTAAACCTGAAAACTGAGGTGTTAGTTTAGGAAAAAACAAGTGTTATCTGATGCTCAGCTGTGGGGCAACTTGGCTCTCGGCCCGATAGAGCAGGCTCTGTGTGCTGGCTGTGGCTCTCATGCCATAGGTTCGCCCCCACTGGTCTGGGCTGTTTGCTGAGCATGACCTGGCACTTCAGACCTCCAGTTCCCCCAGTTTGTATTCTGTGGCTCCCACCCTGCCTTCACAGACTGGAAGCTGCCGCACAGCGAGCACAAGCCAGCCATGCCCTCTTCACACCTGCCCTACGCTTCGGGGGCCCTGAAGGGTCTCATTTTGTGGGGTCTCAGCACAGAGCTCTCCCAGCCGCTGGTCTCCTCTGTCCATCTCTCTGTGACTGTGGAATGAGCCCACAGCTGCCTTACAGGCTCCATGCTGGCCACTTCCCCAAACAAGAACATCCCCGACCAAGCATCACCAGCCACTGGTGGGGATCTCAGCAGAGCCTCACAGGTACCCATCTGTCAGCCGCAGGCCCCAGATAGCGCCTCCACATTTTCCTTTATTTCTCTGGTGTCGGTTTGTCCCTCACACCACGAAGGGCGTCTGCCTGAAGAAGGCCACGCCGCTGGTGTCGGCCCAGTGAGGCCGGCCCAGAGCTCTCGCTGTCCGCAGAATCGCACAACCACGTTCCTGAAGACCAGCGAGCCTCTGTCTCTGAGTCTCAAAACTTGTCCAGGGGACTCAGTGTGCACAAACGCCCTGCCAACCCACCAGCTTCCCAGGCCCGATGGCATCTCACACAGCCGCTGTCCCCTGCTGCACCCAGCCTAGCACAGCAATAGATGAGAAATATTGATGGCACAGCATGTCGTTCTGTGTGGGTCTCTGTATTCTCACCAGTAAATCTTAAGAATCTCATCCCCTACTATATGCAAATCTGCTTATTCATATATTACACACAGCTAGCATTGCATTTACAGATGACTACATCAGCACCATGCACAGGCTGATGTGGCAGCGCATGCCTGTAATCCCGCTACTGGGGAGGCTGAGGCAGGATCACAAGTTTGAGACAGCCTGGAGGATACAGTGAGACTCTTCTGCAAAATAAAATCTCTGAGGATGCAATTCAGTGGCAGAGTATTTGCCTAGCAGGGGCAAGGCCTTGGGTTCTATCCCCAACAATGCAAATAACAGAACAAAACAAAACAACAAAAACCAAATATAAAAATCCAACAATGCCAAAACAACAATACAAAAAAATCATGCACGAAGCAGAAATATAAAAGGCTGACCTTTTTTCATAAGTTTTACATAAACATTTATATATTCTAAAAACCCCATGCATATAAATAGAAACGTAAAATGAAGATGTAAGAACAGATACAAAGGAAGGCCTGGTTTCTTCCCCCTGCACCCTGGCGAACTTCCCTTCCTGCTGTACCTCAGCTTAGAGGTGCTCTGACCAAACTCTGCACACTGAACGGATGCCCATGGTACACACCAGTTTCTCCAGTGCTTCTCTGTTGCCCTGGGTGGACCTTGCTTCTTCTCTCAGGTCAGGACAGAGAGGCTAAATGACTCATCTGAGATGCACAGTAAGTTCAGAGTGTGATGCTGACTCCTGTCTTCGTCTGCCGAGGCTGCCGCAATAAAGCACCATAGCCTGGGAGACTCATACCACAGAAACTGACTCACGTCTGGAGGCTGGAAGTCCAGCAGCAAGGTGTTGGCAGGGTCAGTTTCTCTTGAGGCCTCTCTCCTGGACTTGCAGACAGCTTACAGCCATTCCTCTGCACAAAAATCCCTGGTTTCCTCCCCTGCCTTCCTTCTTCTCTTTTCTCTCCTGGAGATTGAACCCAGGGGCTTTGCACTGAGCTACATCCCCAGCCCTTTATTTATTTATTTATTTTTAAATTTTGAGGCAGGCTGTCCCTACATTGCCCAGGCTGGGCTGGAAATTGTGATCCTCCTGACTCAGCCTCTCAGAGTTCTGGTATTGCAGACATGTGCCACCACACCCAGCTGTCTTGCATTTCTCATAAGGACACCAGTTGTACTGGATTGGGGCCCACCCTCATGACCTCATTTTAATTTATTACCTCTGGAAAGGCCCTGCGCCAAAATAGGTCACATTCTGAGGAACCAGGCAGGGGTGAAGGCTTCCACCTACGAATCTGGAGGGTGACACAGTTCAGCTCGTCACAGCTCCCAGAGTCACTGCCCTGCTGGGCTGGCCCGAGTGTGAGACCTGGGGGCCCTCACTCACCTGCAAGGGGCCCCTGCAGTGGCCTCCTGGGGACAGCTCTGCAGACTTCCGGCTCCCAGGGAACTCCTCCGGGATGGTTTCCGGGCCAGGCCACTGACCCTTCCACCGAGCCCCTCCCCTCCTCTCAGCAGCCCCCTCTGAGACCTGTCCAGGTCCCCCTGCCCTGCAGCCCCAGGTGCACCTACTCCACCGAGGCCCGGCTTGCTGTTTGTGTGCCAGGCCCTGGGTGCGGGGCTGGGGCTGTCAAGGTGGACTCCCGAAGGCGAGGATTTTTCTCTTTTCTTCATTTTGGGAGAGTTTTATAGCACCTCCTGCATGATTCTGCATTGTAGGTATTTTTTTCATCTGAGCCGTCATCTTATATTCAAGGAGAGTTCCGACAGTGCAGGGACTCTGTCCTCTCTCCTTCCTTCTTTCTTTTCATGCACTTACTCCTTAAATCTCTGGAGATTCCCTTGTGTCCCTCAGTTAAAGTTTGTTGATGACTGCATGAGCGAAACGTCCCCTCCGCCCAGGTGGCCTGCGTTCTCCCTGTGTCTTCAGGGCCTCAATGCCCCCTGCTCTTTCAGTTAGTTCCCGTGGGTGGCCAGGACCCTGTGTGAGCAGCCCTCGCCATGCCCCGCTCTCCTTTGACCTCCATGTGACCCTGGAGCCCCTTCCTTGCCAAAGTCAGGGCGCCATCTGCAGGGTGCTCCTCCCCCACGGCAACCCCGCCTCCTGCGTCCTCAGAGAGGCCTGGTGAGTAGACAGAGGAGGGAGAAACCTGTGGAGCCGGAAGTACAGCCCGCAGGAGGGGGCAGAGAGGTGGAGCGTCCTGGCCGGCATCCTTGCAGGGCGCAGGCAGCCTCGCCTCAGTGCTGGCTGGGGAGCTGCAGGGACTGCGTGTGCTCAGCTGCCCCCCCCCCCCCGCTCCGAAGCCCCCAGCGGAAAAAGTGAGAAAACTGATTTTGCTGGGGCGATGGCAGCAGGGAGAGCACCCCCCAGACATGAGGGTCGGAGCGGCTGGGAGCAGGGCCTTTCTCCTCCGACTTCCACATGGAGGAGGAGAGAGCTAGAGGCGCTGGTTTGGCCTCGGCCGTTGTCCTGCGGGAGTGGCTGTTAGGCAGCTGAAGGAGGAATGCTCAGCTAGTTTAGGGGATGGATGTAATAATTTGTGAGGCCAGGAGGGGAGGTGCAGGGCCTGGGGCTGGCCTCGCACCGGGGAGGGGAAGGAAGGGGGCCCCCGTGAGTCTCAGGGCAGGCAGGGGAGAGTGGACAGCAGGTCCCATCTGAGTCAAAAGGGGACGCTGACTTTTTAATTTCAGTTTTTGATTGATGCTTAATAGTTGTCCACATCCATGAGGTATGGCGTGACCCTTTGTTCATGTCTGTATTAATGATCAACTCAAGGTATTCAGCGTATCCGTCACCTCAAACTTTTATCGATTCTTTTTGGTATGTTCAAAACCTTCTTTTCTATTTTGAGATATATAATACATTATTATTATTATTTGTGGTACTGGGGATTGAACCTGGGAACTTTGCACTGAGCTACGTCCCTAGCCTTTAAAATTTTTTTAAATTTTGAGACAGGGTCCTGCTAAATTGCTAAGTTTCCCAGCTGGGCTCAAACTCTTAATCCTCCTGGCTCAGCCTCCCAGAATGCTAGGATTACAGGGATAATTGTTAACTGTACTCACCCTGTGGTGCCACAGAACACCAGAACTCATTCCTTCTAACTCTAGCACTGATAGACCTCTTTACCTCCCCTTTCCTCCTACTCTCCCTGGCCTCTGTTGATCTATGAGATCAGCTATTTTAAGATCCCACTTCTCCGGCCGGGGATTTAGCTCAGTGGTTCTGACGCCTGCCTTGCAAGCACAAGGACCAGAGTTCAATCCCAGGTACCAAAAACAAAATAAAACAAAAAAGATTCCACTTTTGAATGAGATTACACAGCACTTTTTTTGGTGTGTGTGCCTGGCCTCCAGGTCCGTCTATGTTGTAGCAAGAGATCATACTTTTTAATGGCAGAATAGAATTCCATTTCACATATGTATCACATTTTCATTATCCATTCATTTGATGATGGACATTTAGGTTGATTCCATACTATAGCTAGTGTAAGGTTCAAAACTAAAATTAGAACTATCATATAATCTAGCCGTTCTGCTACTGGTTTGTACCCAAAAGAAAGGATGTCTGGCAGTGGAACATGTTGGGAAGGCTGGTTCTTTGCAGTAAACTGTTTCCCAGAACTGAAGAGGGTGAGAGGAGGATTTTGGTGGAGGGGAATTTCTTCATCTCTGGTGAGAACAGAGCTGAGATAAAGTTCCACATTGTCAGCTTCTCCCCATGGTTTTCTGATGGGTGCGTCACACTCATTTTGAACAACACGGCCTAGATCAACCTGCCAAGAAGCGTTGAGAAATAATTCTTAACTGGGAAGAATTAGGGTTGGGAAAGCTTAGGGTCTTGGAAGACAGAGAGAGTCTTCCTTCTGCCTCTGTCTTAGTAAGCTCTTTGTCACTGTGACAAAAATATCAGAGATGAACAACTTAAAGGAGGAGAGGTTTATTTTGGCGCATGGTGTCAGAGGTTTCAGTCCATGGTCAGCTGGCTCCAGTAATATCAGGCTGGAAGGGCTTGGCAGAGGCAAGCAGCTCCCCTCATGGCAGCTGGGAAGCAGAATGAGAGAGCAGGTGCTGACTGGCTTCCTCCTTCTTCCCCTTTATTCCATGGGGCCCTCAGCTTCTTGCATGCTGCCACCCACATTCAGGGCACCTCCCTCCCTCGGTTTGCTGTCTCACATGCCAATCACATCCCCCTAGACACACCAGAAGTGTGTTCTACTAATTTGCTGGGTGTCTCTCCATCCAGTCAAATTGACAGCCACAATTAATGGTCACAGCCTCTAAGGGGAGGTGCCTGGTGGGGCGGAGAGCGGTTCTGGGTTGAAGATGGGGCAGAGAACATAATATGAGGAGCAGGCTTGAAGGAGGGAGCTGCAGAAGCAGTTGTTTATGCTGAGTGACCTGGGCAGGTGCTTGAAACTCCGAGGACCTCCCGTTCTAGTCTCTGTCTTTGTTACTGAATACTTTTAAGAAGGATGGAGTGGCATTGCAGTGCAAGAAGCATAAAAATCTCTGAATGTAAGGCTTGAAAGCATTTGAATTTCTGGCAAGATTCAAAGTAGTTGAAAAGAAGTGTAAAGTTCATTCACTTGTTACCCCATGTACTGGGTACTTTAAAAAATGTTCATCTATAATTCTGGGCATGGTGGTGCACACCTGGAATCCCAAAACTCTGGGAGGCTAAGGCAGGATGATCACAAGTTCAAGCCTAGCCTGGGAAACTTGGTGAGAGCCTGTCTCTAAATAAATAAAGAAGTGGACTGCGGATGTAGCTCAGTGCAAAGACCAAGGGTTCAACTCCAGTGTCTGTCTGTCTTTCTCTCACACAAGTGTATATTCTTCTCACTTCTCTGCTTCTAAAAATTCATCATAAAGAGGGCCAGGGATTTAGCTCAGTGGTTCTGCTGCCTGCTCCGCAAGCGCAAGGACTGGAGTTTGATCTCCGGTACAAAAAAAAAAAAAAAAAATCACCATAAGGAACCAATCAATCATGCTAAAAAAAAATAATGCTCAAAGATGTATAGTAGAGGAAGTATCCCTGTGTTGTTGGTACCAAAGAAAAATTAGACACAATTCCGAGTTTGACAACAGCTTACTAAATAAATTAGCGAATATCTACATGAGCAAACTGTACCACCATTAAGAAGAGAGCACAGGCATATATTTGCTTACATAGCTTAGGGAAGGATTTGCACTTCCGCTAAGAGCCTGGCATTGTGGAGAGAACTTGGAACTGGTTAGCTGCTTCAGACGCTGTGGTGCTCTTTGCTTCCAGAATGGCCTTTGAGCTCTGTCATGATCCTGTAAGTCCTTGAGAAAGGTTACCAATGCAAATAATTCTTTACAGACATGCAGATAACTTCTGCCCTGTGGAGGTTTGCTTGACTCCTCCTCCTCAGTGGAAGTGGCCACTTTCGCACGCATTTGCAGACCCATTTCAGTCTTCCCAATCCAGAGATGTCTGCGCTCTTTCGACTTCTCCTTTGCACTGTGGCAGCCTCTTAATGGTGTGCTCATTTATCATGAGTTCAATACATCTTTAAACGTCTGTTCACTTTGCATCATCAGGAGAGTCACGATCTTACCTTTTCTGGAACATTATCCTTTAATCATTGAAGTACTTGTGGTTACTACTGAATGATACAAGAAGGTTACAAATAGTGTGGCCAACACGACTCTCTTTGGGGAGGATGCTTGGGATCAAATGCAGGACCTCAGGCATGCTAGATAATCCTCTGCCACAGAGCTACACCTGCAGCCTCCAACATAACATTTAAGGAAAAATAGCATGTGTATTACTAGATACACAGAAATAAAAATTTCACTGACATGTACATGAGAATATTATGCAGTTTATCTCAGGATGGGTTCCTGGACCAATGTCATTTTTTTTCCTTTCTTTCTCTCTCTCTCCCTTTCTTTCTTTGGATTGAACCCAGGGCCTTTGAACTGAGCTACAATCCCCAACCTCTTTTTATTTTTTATTTTGAGACAGGCTTTCACTAAATTGCTAAGTTGCCCAGGCTGGGCTTGAGTTTGTGATCCGCCTGCCTCAGCCTCCCAGAGAGCTGGGATGACAGCTGTGAACCATCATGCTGACTTGTCCTCATGTTTATTTCTTAGGCATAACATGGCTAAAAGTTTTAAAACAACCAAAGTGCGTCCCAGAATGAAAATCTAACACACACTTTTCTAATCAAATTCTCACAAGATCCAGATCCCCAGTGAGTTTCAGGGCAGAACTCCGGTTCCCCACTCAGGGGCAATAAGGCCGCTGACATTTAACATGCCTGGGGTGGGCTCCAGGCACCAGAGGCTTCAGCCGCCCAGAAGTGGAGAGATGGGAGCCGTGGACGAGCGATCGCCCGGGTTCTCGGGCTGTGGTACGTGAAAAGGAAAACTGGGAGGACCTGTTGGTTTGCACAGAGTGGACACGAATGATTCGGTGGAGAGAAAGGATTCACGGCTTGCAGGCTTCTCCAGAGCCACGGGGGGTGGGGCGGGCAGGCCCTGCGCGAGGCCGGCTGCAAGTGAGGCCTTTTCAGCCCTGCCGCTCTGAGGCCCTTGTTCAATGAGGTGATGGGTGGGAGTGAGGTGACCAGCCTAAAAAACTGCTGGGAGCCCAGCACTCTGGGAGGCTGAGGCAGGAGAATCGCAAGTTGGAGCCCAGTCGGGGCAATTTAGTGACTTAGTGAGACCCTGCCTCAAAATAACAAGCATACCCCGTGCTCTGATCTTTGAGAACCAGGGAGCCCCGCACTGGGCAGGCCCTGCCCGGAATGAAATGCGGCTCCTTCCATTCAGCTCTTGGTCTATTTTCGGACGACTCCAAGCGCAAACGTGGAATAAGTGCTGGGGAAGCACTTAGCCGCGTCTGACTTGCTCAGCACACACTACCTTCCTCCCTCCCTTTCTTCCTCTACCTCAGCAGAATCACTGCAGGCCCAGACAGAGGGCGCTGACGCAGTCCTTTTCCTGCGGGTGATTGCCGGGCCCGCGGGTCAGGCGGCCGGACCCAGCTGGGCTCCAGGGCGCTCAGGACGTTGCGTGCGCGCCCTCGACGTTGCGCGCGCGCCCTCTGGCGGCGAGAGCCCCGCGAGATTCCCCAGGCTTGGGGCTGGCACGCGGCGGACCC